GACTCATACGCGTATCAGGGAAACCATGACCTCTAGGGTTGGGATGAGAGCTGGTTCCCGGGATAGTGGAATATGTCTGAGATTTGGTGTTTTATTTTCAGTATGGAGATTTCAGGGCACGCTGGGAGTGGATCCGGGTCAGGATCAGGAGCAGGAGAGGGAGTTCCGGGTGGGTCTGTACAACCCGAGGTTGTCAGCAGATGAGTACGCACGAGTTGGATGCGAGGATTCGTGAGATCCTGCATGATGAGGTTGCTGCATTGTTTCGGGCTGAGCTGCCAGAGTTGTTTGGGTCGATCAAGACCGCCATGGTGGAGTATTTTGATGAGCGCTATGCGCTCTCACGGAGACGGCTGCCGCGGCGGCTACAGCAGCTGTAGCAGCGGCAGGGGGAGGAGCTAGTAGAGGTTTTCAGTATCGGGACTTCGATAATACGAAGCCTCCCACTTTTGATGGAGTTCAGGATCCGATCGTTGCTATGAGATGGTTATCAGATGTGGAGGATGTTTCTTCACGTGTTCATGCCCTGCTGATCAGAGGGTGAGGTGTGCTTTGAACCTGTTGAGGCTCGGAGCAAAGGATTGGTGGAGATTGACCACGGGGTCGTACTCGGATGCGCAGAGGGCTGCGATTTCATGGGATCGGTTCAGAGAGATGTTCAGCACTCGTTATGTTCCGCAGGTCGAGAGGGAGAGGTTGGCTCAGGAGTTCTTGGAGCTGAAACAGGATTCGGAATCGGTGACGGAAATCACCAGGATGTTTACTGAGAGGGCGATGTTTTGCCCTGAGTTCGCTTCGGAGCAGGCTCAGATGTCCCGATATCTGAGTATGCTAAAGAGACATCAGACAGTTTGTGTCTGCGCAGAGGTGCGAGACTTTGCTGGAGTTGCAGGAGGCCGCCAGGCGGCGTGAGTTAGAGATTGAGTTACAGATGCGTGAGCTGAGGCAAGCTCCGGTTCAGTCGCAGCCGGCGACGAAACGGTCTAAGACCGTTGATTCCAGGATGGGAGATCAGGGTGGCCACATCTGTGGAAAGTGTGGAAGGGTCATGCCGGGGTTTGTCGGTCCGGTGGAGCATGCCGCAAGTGCGGAAAGGAGGGACACTATGCGAGGGATTGTCGGCAGTCAGTGCCGGTTCGGGATTTGAGGATATGCTATCATTGTCATCAGGTTGGACATTTGAAGGTCAACTGTCCACGGCTTGCTGCAGGACCGGTGCAGGCTCCAGCACCGGCTACGTTGAGGATCACAGGTGGAGATCAGGGTGGAGCGGAGCCCCCAAGGGCTTAGGGTCGTGTTTTTCAGCTTGCTGCTGCGGGTATGTTTCTTTCTGATGTTTTGATTATTTATGATTGTTGTGGAGTATTGTTATCTGTTGGTTTCGTTGAATTGCGTTTCGGGTTTTCGTGTGGTATCCGTTGTTCCTTGAGGGTTTGGCGAGTTGTGATCGAGATTTCGTTTTAGTATCTTTTGTTCCCTGAAGGATCGTTATGGTTATGGATTAGTACTTCGAGCTATCGTTGATTATCTTTGTGAGGATTGGTGGCGGATGCGGCGTTGGTTTGAAGGCCAGTTAGATTCTGTAGTCTGAGGAATTGATAGTTGAAGATTGGGTTCCTTTCGAGCAGGTTGTGCAGCATGGGAACATGATTGTATGAAAGTTGTTGGTGCTGGTGAAAAACATTTTTGAGTGCATGTGTTGATTCCTGCAAGGTTGCTTGGGGAGATCGGTGATGGCGACCGGTGACTAACTGTCAGTGTCTTAAGTGGGGGAGAATTGGAAATTCTCCGGATGATCGTTGGGCCTGAGAGGTTGTTTAGCTGCTTGGGGAATTCAGCGGTATTTCTATCAGTCGAGAGCAGGCTCGTATGGTGAGTAACAGGCGTGCGGGGCGGAATACAGACCTAGAGCAGTTGATTGAGGAAGGCATGGGAGCAGGCCGGGATCGAGTATGTATGATGGAGATAGAGTTCGGAACCCCTAGAGGGCTAGAACGGTATGCACGGGAGGATTTCCCGAAGGGATGGTTCGGAGTGATGAATGCTAGTTGAGCGGTCCGGATAGACTGTAAGCCGGTAGGCGTACCAGTCAGACCGAAGGCTCGGAGGACGGTCCAGTCAGATTGGCTGAAGGTTCTGAGAGTGGTCCAGATTGGCTGAAGGCCTGGGGAGGCGGTCCAGTCATGCTGAAGACTCTGCGAGTATTGTTGGATCGGATTGAGGTTATGGGTTGCGTATGTTGCAGTGGATTACATTGGGAGGTCTGGCCCCGGGTAGCAATCTTGAGCAGTGAAGGTAGTGCATGGGCTTGAGAGTCCCTGTGATGAGAGTCAGAGTAGTGGTGATGCATGGATGTTGGTACGCTTTAAAGAGGTAATGTAGCGTGGGATGAGCACCATGGTGCCTGTCATGGTGACTGGGCGGACGAGTGGTTTCCTTGATAAGGAAAGAGGGAGGAATGAATTCCGAAAAGGGAGTGCGAATTCACGGAAGTGAAAGCGGCAGTGTAGAGTTATGATTGGAGTGGTCCGTCGATGGTCTTTGAGTAGTGTGTTGCGGCGGTGGAATAAAAGCTCATTCGACTTGATATGTTGCTCTGGGCGCAGAGGGAATACCGCGGTGTAGAGCCAGGGAGAGGGGTTCGGAAGGGATACAGAGGGAGAGTCTTGGACTCTCAGTGTGATTCTGATCAGGGTTTTGGCTATGTTTTAGCGGTTCATCCTGGAAGGATGTTCGAGGATATCATCAGTGTATCAGTTTTTCCAAACCTGAGGGTGCTAGAGCTAGATCAGCATGTGTGTGTGATTGCGAGAGAGAACTCGGGGAGTTGCTCCGAAATGGAAGAATGGGTCTTTCGGTCGTCATGGGATGGATAGAGTGGAATTCGGATCGGGAATCCGATGGTCGTGGCTTTATAGCCATATGAGTCAAGTGAAAGATGAGAATTGGAGCAGTAAGCATCATGGGTAATTCTCGGTTGTTGAGTGTGGTTATCGGAGGGTACAGTTGGTGCCCGGTTTGAGTAGGTGGTGGGGACACCGTATGGAAGGAGAAAGTGAGCTTCTGGTTCTATGGTTGTACCTTGAGGGACTTGGTTCGGTCAAGGTCAAGTGGTGCGTCGTGGGAAGTAATTTGAAGATGAGATGCCGAGGCTTCGAGGACGAAGCCTAATTTAAGTGGGGGAGAATTGTAACATCCCGGAATCGCAAGAGTAGAGTTGAAGGGCTAAAAGTGTAAGTTTTAGAGGATGACTCGGCGAGTCCATGGATGACTCGGCGAGTCAGGTCGCGGTCATGGTCGCGTGTCAAGTGGCCTACTCGGCGAGTCCCTAGGATGGACTCGGCGAGTAGGTGCTGTATGGAGAAAACCCTAATTTTCGGGGTTGAGCCCTATATAAAGAGCATTATACCCCTCCACAGCCTCCCTTATTCCCCCTTGAGTTCCAGAAACCCTAAATTCGTGGAGAGATCATTTGTGGAGCAAATTAGAGCTTGGAGAGGTGTTGTTTGAAGAGATCTTGAAGGAGAAGTGGCTTGGATCAAAGGGCTTTGCTTGGATTCGAGTTTGGCTGCTATTGAGGCATCTTTTGGAGGTAATATCTTCGTCCTTAGGCTGTGCATTCCTAGTTTCATCATTTTGGGGTTTGTGGGGAGTATGTCTTGGAATGTTTTGGAGTTTGGAGGATAGATCTGAGGTTGCTACCTCAGATCTGGAATATTGAAGGCCTAGAGTGCATTAAAGTTCCTGTGTTTGAGTGCTTAGTGAAGCCACCATGTCCCAAACCTTGGTTTTAAGGTGAATATGGCTTAGATCTCGTTAGATTCACGTAAAGTTTGCCACTTTACGTGATGGATGGATTGTAGGAGGTTGGATCTATGTTTTGGATCAATTGCATGGCCTGAGATGCTTCTGTATGGATTCAGAGGTGGTACTCGACGAGTCACATGGGTGGACTCGACGAGTTGCTTGAAGATGGCCTGGGACTCGACGAGTTGGAAGAACAACTCGGCGAGTAGGTTGAAGATGGCCTTGGACTCGACGAGTCCATTTGGACTCGGCGAGTCTTGTCGAGGAAGTCCCAATATTTCTGGTTGAGTCGATGAATCGGTGAGTCAAGGGATGACTCGGTGAGTTGGGTGCGAGTGGACTCAGAGTTGTTGGACTCGACGAGTCTTGGGGTGACTCGGCGAGTTGGGTCGCTAATTGAGGAAGTTCTGAGCATAAGGACTCGGCGAGTCATCGGGTGACTCGGCGAGTAGGGTCAGTCAGGGGTTGACCTTGACTTGTCCAAGGTTGACCAGTTGTCTTCCAGGGGTATTTTGGTAATTAAGGGTATTTATTGAGTTGTATGTTTTGATGTTCAGTGGAGGAGTTCGTGTCAGAGTTCGGAGCAGCGGGATCTTATCTTTTCAGCCGACAGTTTCGAGGTGAGTTATCCTCACTATATCAACAGGGTCTAAGGCACCAAGGCCGGCCCTTTATTGTATTGAGATTCGGTTATGGTTATTATGTTATTGTTTGATGTGTCTGCATCCTGGTAGCTAGGATGGTACATGCTAGGAGGCCTTGTTAAGGTCAGTTTTCCCGATATACAGAGTGATGCTATGCTAGTGACCGGTTAGGTCGGTAACCCGGTTAGGGTAATGATATGCTATGTGATCTGCTTGCTCGGTTTGTTGACTATGACTGTTATATGAATGTATGTTTTGTGCACATGGTTGTTTGGACTGGAGATGGGTTGAGGCGGGTCCTGCTTTGTGCTGTAGGCCAAGATACCCAGGGCGGACCGGTTGTTCCGAAGGCCCAGCGAGCGGTCCGGATAGGCTGTAGGCCCCACGAGGGCGGACCAGACGTGCCGAGGCTCGGAGAGTGGACCAGGCCGACTGAAGGCCCGATGCGGGCGGACCAGTCACACTGTAGACTCAGAGAGTGGACCAGGTGGGTTGAAGGCCCGATGCGGGCGGACCAACCCCACTGTAGACTCGAAGGACATGACTAGACCGGAGGATGGATCCGTTGGACTGAAGGCCCGATACGGCGGACCAGTCACACGGTAGACCCGATATGCATGGCTGTTCTATGTTCTGTTATGTTATGTATGTTTTATATGTTTTGGACCGGAAGGTCGTAGCCTGGAAGGGCGTATACGTGGTTGGTATTTTGGGGGTATCTCACTAAGCTTTCGGGCTTACAGTTGTGGTTTA